AGGAGCTCACTCCGTGACACGACATTAAGGATTCGAACTGTTAAACTGCCGCCCTTTCTGATCGACAAACTCAGTGTCTTAGCCCCTGAGCTACTGAGTCCTCTAAACCATGGGTTACAAAACTCAAAAAGAAATTACGTTGTATTCTTGCCTCATGCGAACTTGGTCATTCGTGGTGTAATTTGGTGACTCCAGAATCGTGGCTTGTCAACCGTGGTTCATTCGTCGTGTGAACTTACCTTTAATTTGATCCTCATCAGATATATATTTTTTTTAACGAAAGGACTATTGAGTGCAATTTACGCCCACGGCAAGCGAGCAAAACTGGGGAAGTCCTGGATGCTGCTTCTTCTTCCTCCTTAACAGAAAACAGAAGTACAGGGTGGTCCTGGACTTACAACCGTAATTGAGTCCAACATTGTTGTTGCTAAGTGAAACATTTGTTAAGGGGATTTGGACCCATTTTATGATTGTTGGTGCCACAGTGGTTAAATGAATCCTTGCAGCTGCTAAGTCGGTGATCCAGTTGTTAAATGAATCTGGCTTCTCCGTTGACATGGCTCATCAGAAAGGTCATAAAAGGTGATGGTGTGACCCCGGGACACACCACTGTCATATGTGTGAGTCAGTTGCCAAGCACCTGCATTTTGATCATGTGACCGTGGGGAGGCGGCAATTGGCGTAAGGGTGAAAAACATTCATGTCACTTTTTTTTCTTGTGCCATGGTAACTATGAATGGTCACTAAATGAACTGTTGTAAGTTGAGGACTGCCTGTATAGGGGAGAACATCTGACCTTGCAATATTGCCAACCGCCAACCCCTTCAAGAGAAAGAAAAGCTTGCCTCTGGATTTCAGCAACATCAGCCATTTTATTTATGTATTGTAGAATTCTCTTTTCTTCAATTGCATTCTGTTCCATTTATTCTATTCTGTTCTGCTCTGTTCCATTCTGTTCCATTCTCCCGTGGTGGCACCATGGTTAGAATGCCGTATTACAGCCTAACTCAGCTCATGCCAGCAGTTCGATCCTGACCAGCTCAAGGTAGACTCAGCTTTCTATCTTTCTGAGGTCCATAACTTTCCAGATTGTTGGTGGCAAGAGGCTGACTCTGTAAACCGCTTAGAGAGGGCTGTAAAAGCACTGTGAAGTGGTATATA